ATGGGCATAAAATCATGGTCTCACACCAAATGAAGTACAATAATCACACTTATTGTTGTATTTTTATATATTGTTATATGTTAATACATTTCAGCACAAAGTTGAATGCTGACAGAGTGAATCATTTGGAAATTTTAAAAAATCCTATATTTATACCTCAAGCAATGTAGTCCTTTGTTTATCTAACAGATTCTCTTTTTATTGTCTTAAATATTTTATTTATTTATTTTTAGAGAGAGGGAAGGGAAGGAGAAAGAGAGGGAGAGAAACATCAATGTGTGGTTGCTTCTCATGTGTCCCCAACTGGAAACCTGGCCTGCAACCCAGGCATGTGCCCTGACTGGGAATTGAACTGTTGACCCTTTGGTTCTCAGGCCAGCACTCAGTCCACTGAGCCATACCATCCAGGGCTAACTAATAAATTTGTATTTGATTATAACCCGTTAGTGACAGTTAATAAATGGAACTGAGTTGAATTTAGCAGTTAAATGTGAACATTTCTCAGAAGCTTCTCTGTATTTGTATGAACTACTATCACTATAGCTGACTTATTCAGCTATCCTTCAGAGAGTATTGGTCTTGGCCATCATATTTATCCCTAAACGAAAGGCTTTCGCCTCTGGTATGCATTGGAAGCCATTGGGGCCCCTGGACTAGTGAATTGGAAATTTTGGGAGTGGCGCTCAGGCATTGGTATTTTTTATAAGCTTCCCAAGTTATTTAAATGTGCAGAGTTGAAAACCACTGGGTTACAGCATTATTAGTTAAATATATATCCACATCATTTAGTCTTTGATGTTGATATATAATTTTCTCATATTTAAGTAAATAAAAGAACATGGTTATTTATAGATATTTCTTTAAAGGTATACCTATTATTTCCATTAATTCTGTAGTTTATGAATATAATATAATAAAGCAGAAATGAATGTATTTGTTTTTAAATTACTTGTGGATTTTTGTTTGCTTATTTTTTGGCAAGATGAAGTGTTGTGTCTATCAAAAAGGAATATGGAGACACAGAATGTTAAAGGTGAGACACTCAATGCATCTAGTGGAAAGAGGACACAGTTGAAACCAGCTTCGACTCACAGTTACTTATTCACTTACTAGCCATGCGGTCTTGGGGTACTCACTTAACCATTGGGAGCCTCACCTTCTTTATCTCCGTGAAGTTGAGACAAACCAGTACTTTGTACTGTGACAACGGTGCTTCATGCTGGGGCACGCACACAGACACATCTTGATTCCCGGCCTTTTTCCCGGTCCCTGCACCATCTGTGTGGATAGCCAGAGCAGGGACTGTGTGGGAGCTTCCTTGGGCTGTCTGAGCCTGCAGGGCCAGCTGCTGGGAATGGCTTCCTCCCACTCCGCAGGGATCATTTCTCCGGCTCTGTTGGGACCAATACATGGCTGGCTGTGTGGATCCTATGCTCTTTCATGAGCATAACATTTAGTCTGTGGGGTCAGTTGCTGCTGGCTGAGTAGAGTGAAGCTGTTTAATGAGACTGGAAATGAAGATGGCTTCTTGTTGCCACAGGATAGAAGGTTTTGGGTACCTTGAGTTGCAGCCCCAGGGAATACATGCACAGGACACAGGTGGCTGCTCTCCCGTTACAACTATCTATCCAGTGTGTCTGTGTTGAGTAGGGTTGATAAGACAATAAGAGGCCACTATCTATACCCTAGTTTGGGGGAAGCAGAGAAAAATCAAAGACTTCTTTGATTTTCTTTTTTATGATATGAACAGTGGATTTTTCTCCTTTTCCATGCTTGTCTCTCTGTTTTTCTAGCATATGGCCATATGCTAGACAAACAGGTTACACTGTTCTCTGGTTTAAAATTCTTTGTGCTCCAGGAAGGAGGTTCATGGGTCGTTTCTTATTATAAAGTATGAGGCCTGGGGGCCTGATCTTAGCTGTGGTGCTTATGTCCTTCCCACCTATAGGCCTGGCTCTGGCTTTAGGTCTCTCCTTAATCTTAACTTTGAGAATTCTGCTTTTGTCACCCTCTCTCTGGACTGTCTGAGGTTTCACTGAAAATATTTGTAAACCCAGCTGCCATTTTTGTATTTTTTCCTCTGTCTATTGGAATCGGCACTACTTTCTCATTGTTAGCACTACTGGGGGGCCTATTGACTTCTTTTGGTGATCAGTATCTTGTAACGTTACACTTGTGGGGTGAGTGCTCTTCCTCTCAATTATGAGACTCTTGAGGGCCAGAACCATGTTTTCCAGCTAAGCATGGTGACAACTATCATATATCATGCACCTACTGTGCACAAGAGACTTTGCTTTAATTATTTCAACTAATTCCCATACAAATACCATATACATAAAGAGTCGTATTTCAGAGAACTTAATTAAATTGCCAAAGATCATCTAGCTAGGGTGTCACAGAGCTGGATTTTAAACTCAGTTTGACCTCAAATCCCCTTTTCTAAATCTACTTTCCAAATTATTTCTTGAAGGAAAGGAAAGATACATATGAGAACAGGATCTTGCCCTATAGCAAGATGGGACTGTTGAGTAAGGGACTTGTATGGAATCACATTCTTAAGGAAAAAAGAGAAGGTCTGCACAGTCCTCGCTTTCCCACTGTGATGACTTGCATCACTGGCAGACGTAGACACTTAATAAATGGGCCCTCTGACCATCAAGGCAGAAGTCACCCCTATGGGAGGCTTTGGCCCTCATGTGGGTCTTCAATTCATGCTTTTTATTTAGATCAGAGAGGCCCTGAGATTATGTGAGGATGTCTCTCACTGATAAAGCTGTGGGTTGAGCCATCAGGCAAACTCTGAAGTAGATTCCAGTGAATCCTCCAACATAAGATACTCCGAGGAATGAGGTCTGTGTTGAAATCATCCTCGTCTTGCTGCAGATCAGGAGGTTCTCTGCAGTCAGTCTCTATGTGTGCAGTTTAGACCATCACAATGGTCCCAGTGGCTTTGGCAAGCAACAGGAAGTATATGAATGCTTAGCAAGTCAAAGCTTTGTTGAGTGTGCCCGGAGAACATTTTGCTTTCATTGTATTTGGAAACCATAAATTTAAGTCCTGCTGGGGAGTAAGAGTAATTGCTTCACAAAAGAAAAAAGTCAGTCTTTAAAAGTCTTAACTCCTTTCACGAACATGTGCTTTTTAATAACTGGGAAATTCCTGGCATAGGGGAAAAAATGTCCTGTTGTAAAAATGAGGTCATTCTGGTCTTAACTGGCCTGGTGTACTCTCTAGTTCCTGCTTTGTGTTCCATGTTTTGGGACACAGGTTATTGGGAGGATAATCCCCCTGTGGATATTAACTGCTTTTAGGGCATGTTGCCAAAGAGAAAGTTATCTTAGCTCAGAAACTGCCAAGCCAGTGCAGGAGGCCCAGGTCCCAGGGGTACTGAGCTAGTGACTGCTAATGAGTTGGTTTAGGTCGGCCGTGACGTGGGCTTTTAGAGTACACTTTCCCTGTGCTCTAGGACTGCTGTGTATCAGTTTCATCCTCTTTAGATTTCCTAACAGCTCTGCTGCTTCTTGCTTCAGGAATATTTTTATTTCCCAGGCACATTCTGTTTATTCTGCTTTGATTTTATCCCGATGAGTAAAAACATCTGTGCCAGTTTGAGGCCTCACGTTCATCCTTTTTTACCTGCTATAAATGACAAACAGCCATTGAAAGAAGTTGTCTGTACCTCTTTCTTTCAACACTCAGAAGCTGATTCCTCCTAAAATTAATTTCTGCATTGGCTTGGCTAAAGCGAAGATTGTGTCCGAGGCCTTAGATTTGCTCCGGGCAAGGGTTCTTCTAAATGGCAGTGGAGAGTATCTCAGCGGACACTTTTGATTTCACTGAAGTTCACTTTTTTTTAGCTTTAAAACAACCATTCCCTTTGAGGACTGTTAGGCAGGTAGTTATATCTGTCCTGGATGTTTTCATGAAGAGGTGAATGTGGAACCTCGCCAACAACCTTTGTGTTCTCCTCGAAATTAAATATAAGGATGACCACTCTGAAAGATTAGAGATGGGAAATAAACTGATCATTCTTAACTGCTTCTTAGGTACCAGCGCTGTGCTAGGTCCTTTCTTCTGCTTACTCTTTTAGACTTGTCCGGGTTCTTGCAGTTTCAGCAGTAGGGGCCAACTAGATCATCTAACTGCCTTGCTGCCTCACATCTTGAAGAGTCTGTCAGAGTCATTATAATCCCTTAAAACTCATCCACGGTTATGAGGGATCAATATTTTGGTAGGCCTTTGATAGCTTTTTTCTGCTTAATTGACCAAAACTTTTTATTATTTAAAAAATTCCCACTCTCGCCACTGAGAATTTGGTTTTTATCATAATTTGTGGACAAAATCTATGCTCTGGCATTTGGTGTCAGGCTCATGGCTCCCTAGGTCTGAAACTGCAACTTGAGGCTCTGTTGCCTAAAGAAGTCTAGGAAGAATTTCTTGATTTGGTATTTAAAAAACACCCCTCTATTTTCAGCTATCTTGGAGTAGAGAGAGAATTCTAAAATGTGGTCATGAGCTGTTCAGGTATTTGCTTCAGATCCCATTTCTTGTCCCGGGTACTTGCGGGCCCTCTAGGGGGCCCCAGAGCCCTTGCCTGGCATCTCCTGTATGTGGGGGAGTCCGACTTCCGGGCACACGCACGACCCGTGTTTCTCGAGTTCATCTCCTCCCCACGGCTCCCAGGGCCTAGGTACTATCCCAGGGCTGATTATAAGCAGCCAATGAGCTTTTTATTGAACTTAATGGCTGGTATAAAATAATTGGAAAAATATGGCTAGGAAATGCTATTATATTTGAAATTGGGAAATTCTGGGTAATTGTGAGTGCCTCATATTAGTTCCTGTGGGAAAAATACATGGCAAAATGCATAATGGGTTAATATTGTGAAGCAAGAACTCTTATGAAATAAATCAGAAGCTACATGTTTGCTTATGATGCTCAGCATGGGAATGGTACTGATTTGCTGATAACTTATTTTTATTATTATTATTATTCTGTAGCCTCAGACGATTCAGCAAACTCTCAAGAGGACATTGCAGTATTATGAACACCAAGTTATTGGGTAAGTAAAAATGGATTTTGGTCATTACTGGGGGCAAATTAAAGATAATTACTCAAACATAGCGATTGAGCATATGGTCTCCTGCCACCCAGGTCAACCTTACATCACCGGGACTGGGCTCTAAGTGTGGAGTGTGGCTCACGAGGGGCCCCCGGAGTGAGTTCCACAGGATTGTTTGTGTTTAATCCATTTAATAATATTCCCTTTTTGGCATTGCCTTTTCTTTTTTCTTTGTTTTCTTCTTGTGTTTTTACCCTTTTATTTTCATCAATTGAATTTTATAATTTTCCCTTAGTAATGTGGCAAGATTTCATTGTACTTGCCAAGAAGTTTTAAATGAAATTTTATAATCTTTCAGTAAGTTTCTAAGAAACCTGAGGAGTCAAGATTCAAACGCTAGGACCTCTTGACATGCTTTTGGGACTCATTTAACATTTATTATTAGTAGTCATTGCCGTGGGGGTCAAAAATATATTTTTGTCTATTAAGCTGTTGTGTTATTTTATTATTTTTTTTTTTACAAAGCAAATGGGAAGAAAAGCTTAGTGGAAAAGTAATCTCAGTACTTTGTACAATGCTGTACTGAAGTGCTTGATGATTATGATAATTGTCATTTCAAAGGGAATTGCTTTCAAACTTTGTCATATCAGTCCTCAAGAGAGCAGCACTAGGAAAAACATATTATTTAAAGTCATGATATGGCTTTTAGTTTGAGGCCATTAGGGATTTTAGATAGTTTATCCTAATGGAGATAAAGAATGTCAAATTAATCTCTCTCCACACATTCGAAAATAAAAATTAATCACTCTCAATAGGTACGCCACTTTCCAAGTGTGGTATTTGTATGAAATTTGTTAATATACCCAGATCTGTTTCTGGTATGTAGTAAATACTGCATATTTGCTGTGAGGTTTGTCACCATCATCATTATTATTTTTATAACAATATTAGTAATAAAATGCAATTTTTTCTGTACTTATGAATGCCCTCTTTGATTTGAAATCAAATAAAAACTGATGGAATAGTCCCATTTCTGAACTAAAACTATGTCCTCAAGGTAACTTGGAATGAGAATCTTATAAATGTCATAAATAGATAACTAAGCTATATTTCCATAATCAGCAGAAAATTCTTCGGAGTTGTCTTTTATCTGAATTAGTGCCTCAACTCTCCTCTCCTCTCCCTCTTTATAGACATAGCTTGTGGTGATTCTTTGTTCATTGCCTGTGCAGCCTGTTCTAGTTCTGTTCAGTGCAGACACGGTATAACGGAAACAGGGAATGAGGCTAACATACAGAGGTGTCCTGATGTGTGACTGGTTCCAAATAGGTCTGTTAGCATATTTTTCACTTGAATGTTGCCTGCCTTCTGAGAACTTGAAGTACCTTTGCTCATTGCCTTTGTTTTCACTCATGCCAAAAAGGGTGAGCTGGCAGGATATTGTCACATTTGCTGTCCCTGACTTTGTCTTTCCGTTCCCTTCAGCCATGGCTTCCATGCCCAGTGCCCCCTCTCGCCTTTTAGACTCCTCCTTTCTGCTTTCTTTCTCTTTCAATGCTGAAAAAGGAGAGCCTCTCTTACCACCAACTTTTGGATTAACATGTATACATACTAATGTGTTGTGTCTCTGAAGAAAGTACAATTAAAGGCTCTTCATTTCTAACTGTGAAAAGGAATGTGTTTTTCCATTAAAAGGATTTCAGGCAATAATGCTGGCAAGCATTATTTTACATATTTCTGAGGAGATTAGGGTGGGAAAGAGACGCTTTCCCTAATCTCTGAAATTGGGTTTTGCCTAAGGCTTGTCTTGAGGTAATTCAGCATTTAGGTGCCTTGGGTTGGGATGATCAGTTCTAGAGGGATTACTGCCAGTAGGAGCTAGCTCTTCTTTCTTTCTCTCTCTCTGTTTCTCTTAATCCTCACTCAAGGACATTTTTTTCATTGCTTTTAGAGAGAAAGGAGGGTTGAAGAGAAAGAGAGAGAGAAACATTGATCGATTGTTTCCTGTACACTCCCCAACTGGGGATCGAACTCACAACCTTTTTGGTGTACAAGATGATGCTCCAACCAACTGAGCCACCCAGCCAGGGCTAGCCTTCTTCTTAATTTTGTAATTTAGCCTCTAAGCACTCATCTTCCCATCCTCCCTTTCCTCTCCTTTAAACCTCTGCCCTTGGATCTGCTCCAGGATGGTATGATTCTATTTCTTGATGAACTCAAACACCAGTAGCCCATAGAAATCCTACGAGGCATTTTTAGTTCCCAAACTTAGACTTGAATGCAGGGAGCAGTTGTTCAAAGGATCACACAGATGGAGGATTGGGAGGGAGCAGCCAGTGGAGCTTCTCGATAGAGAGTAAGAGAGCTTCTCAGTACCTCAGCAACTTGTTCTTTAAACGTTTGTTCTATTTCTTAACATATCCATTCACATGTTCATTTATATATTCATAGACATCATTCAAATTGGAAATAAGTGCTACAATAATTTATTCATGCAGTGTGATAAATCTCTTCATTTCCTGTCACCATCATCTCTCACCTAGAGATTTCCATCTAGTTTTCTGGTGTCTACTCCGATCCCTTAACACTATGTTCTCAGAGCAACAAAATGATTTAAAAATGAGATCATACCACTTTCTTGCTTTAAACTAGTGGTTCACAAGTGTTAATGTGCATCAGAATCACCTGTCAGGCTTGCTGAAATTCAGATTGCTGAGCCCTACCTATCAGGTAGGTATATCTGGGAGAGGCTCACGAATTAGCACTTAAAAGAATTTTTAAAAATATAATTCATACTTATTAATCACTTGTATTTGAGAAAAACATAAACACATACAGTCTACTTTGTTTTTATGATCACTTTACCTTGTTTTTATTATCTTCACAGTGTCAGATTCATATATATATTTTAGGTGAGACACTAATATGGAGATTTTATTTATTATAATTTAGCCAAGACATTGGCATTTCTGAGTTCCCAGATTATGCTGACACTACTGGTCCAGGGATCACAGTTTGGAATCCCTGCTTTGAACCACACAAAGACTGATCGTGAAAGGATAACCTGAATTCTTCCTGCGACCTTGGCCACTATTTAACTCTCTGACTTTATCCCCATCCACTCTCCTTATTTCCCTCCACCCCAGCACTCCAGCCATCTCTTGGTATCTCAATTATACCAGGCTTGCTCAACCTTAAAGCCTTAGTACGCACTGTTTCATTTTTCTAGAATGCTCTGTCCCCAGATGTTTGTGTAGGTTATTCTTTTTATACATCTAGGGGTCTGTTTGAATGCGATATCTTCAGAAGAACCTTCCTGGCTACCCAGTCTAAAGTGGCCCTCCATCCTCTACCTCAGTCTGTAACCCCTGTCATTTTTTTATTATATTACTTTTCATTATTTCTTGTCATAGTGCTTAACATTAGGTTATATTATTTTATTTATTTAATTATTTGGTTATTTAGTGTCTTTATTTCTGTATTTCTGTACCTTTGTAAATGCTTGGTACATAAGAGAGGCTAAAAATTTGGGTGGGGGGCTGTGAAGAGAGTATGAATAAATGAATAAATTGCCCCTTAAAAGGCCCTGGCTGGTGTAGCTCAGTGGATTGAGCGTGGGCCTGCGAACCAAAGGATCGTGGCTCGATTCCCAGTCAGGGCACATGCCTGGGTTGCAGGCCAGTTCCCAGTAGGGGACCCACGAGAGGCAACCATACATTGATATTTCTCTCCCTCTATCCTTCCCTTTTCCTCTAAAAATAAATAAATAAAATATTTTAAAAATTGCCCCTTAAAAGTATGTACACAGAAGTATGTATATATTAGATAAAAGACTAAACTATGGTTTGGAAGGGGTTGTAAAATGAGGGGTTGAAATAATCTCTAGGATCCATGAAAGTTCTAAAATTATAGTTCTAGTACCTAGGGCCCTTTTCTTTCTAGCTAAATTATATTGATCTGTTTGCATAGTTTTCCATTCATGTTTAATGTTCCGCCAAGATGTGTGAGATTGACTTTGATTACCGTATGAACTCTGCACAAGCATGTGCACTTGGATAGCTTCTTGCCTGTGTCGCACAGTCTTCTCCCCTCAACCTCCAATGGGAGAGGGGGCACTGAGTCTGCGTCTCTGTGCTGCTTTAACTCAAGCTTCTAGGGAATGGGCTGGGTTTGGGGGCAGTTCTGTGTGGAAAGAATAGTGAGAAGAAGGGGATCAGCAGGGTTCCCCTTAGGAATTAAAAGGAGCTCAGGATTGAGGGAAAATCTGGTTTATAATGACATTTGGGTCTGATGTCATTCTTGATGCTGTCTTCTACGCTTCCTTCTCTCTCTGCATCTCTGTTGTGTACTACAGAGCAGGGGACTGAGAAAACGTGCTTTGGAAGTAGACATAACAGATTTATTGGACTTAAAGTCAGATTCTGCCTTTGACTGATCTCACACTGATTACTTAACTACTCAGATCCTCAGTTTTCTTAAATGTGAATAATTACAGTGTTGGGGTGAGGTTTAGATGAAATATTAATGATAACATGTTGTCATATAATCGTAAAATGTATTACAGTGCCTGGTACACAAAGGCAGTCAATATGTTTATTGAATTATTATTCCACTGTTAGTACCTGACTCCTCTGCACCTCAATTTTTGTGGATTGTTTTTCCCTTCATCCTCCTGCCATATCCCTTCCCTGTACACCCTGAGTTTTTAAAGTTTGGAATCAGTTGTTTAGCATCAGGAGCTAAACATAAACATACCCAGCTCATTTGTAACTACAGCTTTCTTCTTACAGTTTGGATTTTTTTAACTTAAATATCTGCCTCTAGAGTGCCTAGCCCAGCAGCTCTCACTCATGTTTATACTGTATTACTCTGACTGGTACGTAGCTCACACACAAAAAAATGGATTACTATGGCAGTGTAGACAAAGCACAGATTCCTTTTAAAACTATGATTGGAAAACGCGTGATAATCAATCTTTCTGAGATGTAACATTCATTCATTATATATTTTATACACTGAAGTGTACGGAAATATGTATTCAGAATGACGCCATTCATTTACACTTTTTGCCAGATTTAGCATTGTTGTGTTAATACCAGGGGTAGGAGTGCTGCCAGCCTCGCATTAGCCTGGGACACCGTTTCCTGTAGTCATCTAAAATTAAATTCTATTACTCCAATTATCACTGTGGGCCCTAGGTTTGTTTTATACAGCCGGCCTTCTGTTCTCTCTTTTTTTTTTTGACAATTGAATAGGGATTAAGCTAGAATAATTTCAGTAGAACGTCAGAAGTAAAATTAGGAGTGGGTGAACCCTGATTACTCTGGGAAATAAACTTCAGTGACATTACTTAGGCTTCCATGCTCAGAATTTGTGGCTGTAAACTTTGTTATCTAAAACACGATCTAGCTTCTTTTTCATATATTTATAAAAAATAACTATTTTATTGCATAAAAACAAAAAGATCAAAGGTCATATCTACTGATTGCACTGTGTGTTTGAAGCAATATATGCTCACTTTACATGTTATTGTATTTAGTCCTAACCATCCATTTAATAGAATCATTGTACAAATGAATAAATTGAGGCCGTGACAAAAATACTTTGTCCAAGGTCACACTGATGAAAATGGTGGCACTCGATTTAAAAATAACACTGTATTTATCTGTGTTTGACACCCGTGACCCCGCTTCTCATTTTATTGTGTGAATCCTGCATTCTAGAAACTACAGTAAGCATTTTACCCAACTGGTTTTTTGGAGTCAGATCTCAGTGAGGTGTATATCCATGACACCAATCACTTCAAACATGCTAGCGTGAGTCCCCTTTGGTATTAGCCTGGACAGGTTGCCCTGTTTTCCAAGTACGTTCAGGGAGTGTAAGTCCACTTCCGACCAGTTGAAATCTTGAATCTCATATCCAGTCTCGCTCTCATATCCCTCTCTGCCTGGGTCAGGCTTCGCCTGGGGAACAGTGTGGAGATGATGGGACGTGGGTGTTCACTCTACCGCTCCGGGCCACTCCTTTCTATGTCCCTGTGTCTTCTGATGTATCGTGTCAGGCTAGAAGGAAAAGGAGAAATGGCAGAAGCCTTTTCTAATTCACTGGTGGTTGTAACTGTGCTTTCTTGCTGTGATGTCCTCAGTGAGGTACCTGGATGAGCTCTGCTTTGCTTCTGGTCTTCCCGCCCTAGACCTGAGGATGGCGCAGCACAGCCTTGCCGGTGGGATTCCTGCCCCTGGCTGCAGTGTCCAGACTGGGGAAACAATAGGTGGGGTGTCCAGCTTGCCCATCTTTAGTGGCATCTCCCTCATCCTTGGGAAACTCTTTTTTTTTTTTCCCTTGCCAAACAGTGGGACTGTAGGCAGTTCGCAATTTGTCTCTGTTTCTTTTCCCTGTTAATCTTCTACTCAGGCACAAAGGGATAATCCAGAGCTCCCCAGCAGATGTTCACTGAGGAAGGAGGTATTCGACCCCCACTCTCTGTGAGGTGGACCCCTTTCTCACCAACTGGGCTCCCTCAGGGAGCACTCCCCTTCTTTCCTTATAGGGGAGAAAGCGCCAGGCCCACTCCTCGCTCCTTGGAGGATTTCCTTTTGGTTTTTGTATACACTCTTGCTTCTGAAAGCTGGTGGTGGGGTGACAGTGGCAGAGATTATGTCATCATTTCTAAAGTTCTGAATGAGCTCTGTGGTTTCTTGGCTACTCTTTCGGAATGTGGGAGCATTTAGCACCTATTGTCTTCGACTTTAGAGTTTCAGCTCTAAGTCAGAGGCACCTGGGAAGCTCCAGTCCACATCGGGTTACACAGGCGTTCTGTCATTTGGTCTGCACGAGAGCTCCAGCAGGCATCTCCTTTTTGTGAGGGAGGAAAGTTACACTACCAGAGATTAGGTTACTTGTCCCAAACTCACAGATAGAAAATGGCAAAAAAAGTGAACAGAGAAAAAGGTAGAGAATTTCAGTTATAAAATAAGCCATGGGCTGCAATATACAGCATAGGAAAACTAGTCAATAATACTGAAACGACCTTATATGCTGACAGATGGTTACTAGATATAGTGTGGTGATCACTTCATTATGTATATTAATCTTAAATAACTGTTGTATGCCTGAAAGTAATATAATATTGTATATTGATTATGTTACTACAAAAAGAAAAGCATACAACCATAATTCCAATTCTGTTAGACTCCAAACAACTTATTTGCTTATCACCTGTGCACCATACTGCTAATCGTCTTGACTGTGTGTGCTAGAGGTTAAGGTGTATTTACTTTCAATACAGTTAGTGCCAATGCACCAAATTAGTACTGTTAATTTTTTTTCTAGGCAACTTCTTTATAGAAACATTACCAGCAGCTATGAGACAGTCAGATAAGGAAACATTAGTCACATAAAGCTGATATACCTTCTGGTTTTCCTCTTTTTTGTTTTTCAAACATAGCTTTCTAATTAATGATTGTCTCCAGATCCAGGTCCACACTGCTAATGCTGATGTTAATGGAGGGTTATGTCATAGATTATGTCTTAAGGGTTCAGTTATTCTACAGTGTGATTACACTAAGAACACGACTGTGTTTATGTGTATGTACGTAAGTGCATTCACAGATGCTTTGACATTTTTCTCCATATGCTAATTGTATTTTTTTTTTTAGTTATAGGGATGCAGAAAAGAATTTCCACAATATCTCTAACAGATGCTCCTATGCAGACCATTCCAACAAAGAGGAAATTGAAGACGTCTCAGGAATTCTTCAGTGTACTGCTAATATACTCGGTATATCAATTATATATTTATACGGTTAAGAGAGAATTAATGAGGGGAAGAGGAAAAGTAAAGGTGTAAATGTTTTATTTTCTACTAAAGAGAAGTTTGGAGGTTATAGCAGATTGAGACCTTGTCTTCAAGTGATTTAATTTCAACACTTTGGAGAATGTTTAAGTGGAAATTACATGCACAGCATTTACCTGGAGATTGAAAAACATTACAATAAAATATTACATTCCAGGGAAACTTTTCTAAATATACACATGTTAATATTATTAGCCTCCCATAATCCATGTTTCTTTGGCTCTTACCCTCAGCTGAAATTTGGGATCTTTCTCAAAGCCTGTGTGCTATTTTTTCTATTATTATAACCCCATTACTTCTGGGAGGACCTGGCTGGAGCTGGAGGGTGAGTGATAGGTACTCACAGTGGACTCAGGGGCAATGAGGCAGGTCATCTTCTAGGGTCTTTGTGCCTTGTGTGTGGTGGCTGGTGTGTCCACCTTGAAGATACCAGTCTTTATGACAGGGGGTTGTTTTGGGATGCTCCCCAAATGACTAAGGGCTGCTGTTGTACTGCACTGAATCTTGTAGCATTAGGGTACCATACTATCATACTCCCTTAATATCTGACACTCTTGGTGTGTGAGAGCTAGGCTGTATTATATGCAGAGTAGATGTCATGGCAGGAATACAGTTGGCCCTAACGTCTTATAGATGTTTTAGTGAAAAACACCTCTTTCAGGTTTTTCTTAGGATCCTCCTATTATTCTTATGACTGAGAGAGTCATCCGTGAGGTGTTGGTGGGGAGAACAAGAAATCTTAGTGACTGACTCCAAACAGAACTCAGAATCACGTCTCCCTCAGAATCAGATGAGGGAGACTGGGGCAAACTTCTTTGCCTGATTTTCTTTCCCTTTAGCCTAAGTACTTTCTCTGGAGACATCTGGGTCCCTTCTACAGATTTCAGGGGACCTCAACCCATGAGTCTACCCACTTTTTCTAGACATATCTGACTCAAGCTGGACTCCAGCTGTCCATGACTACATTTTCATTCTAGGTCACTTTTGTAAACACAAAATATTATACAAGAACACGGAAATTTTGTGAGGAGAGGTATATAGATATATATGTGGTTTGTCCATAATAGCTATAAGAAAGTAAAAAGGAAGGCCAAAGGTTTGCTTACTATAATCTTAGTACAACTGTAAGGATGTTGTACTACCCGAGTAAACCTTATTTATTAGAGAAGATGAGGGACAAGAATAGAGAGGGACGATGTTGGACATTACTCAGGGGCTGCTTACAGTTTTACAGTTTTGTCTTTTCAAGGACAAAATCATAAACATACTTTTCTGTTTAACATACTTTTCTCTCGACATATTGTGATTCTCAAGGGGTAGGGGAGATGATGTCCCCCTAAAAAGGATGGATCAGAATTTTGGCAGAGGGAAGAATTTGGAAAGTTGTTCTTACCTAGTTTCTGAACATTTCCTTGTCCCTGGCAGCTCTTTTCTGTGTGCTTCCTACCCTGAAAATCAGTGAGTTAGACGGGGTAGGAAGTGTTCAAGGTAATAAATTTATGAGTGCTAACGGCCTCTGAGCCATGACTTGCAAAAGGGTATGCACACATCCACAAAGAAACTCAAGGTCAGACAGTTTGATGTGGTAACCATGGTAACAACCATGTGAGGCTGTGGCCCAGTGCAGCTTAGCTGTCCTTCAACAGTTACCATGAGATGCCAGGTAAGTAGTGAGTGGAAAGACCGACAGGTAGTGTGCTTGCTACCTGATGGTATTAGGGAATGAGAAGATTTAAACCAGGTGCTTGTGACCTAGAAGGTGACTGTGTAACAGGGTTTGGATAGCTATGAATATTACACTTTTTTCTAAAACAGTGAGATTAGGTCTGATTATTTTCCCCTCTATGTAATGATGGGTTGTTCCCAAAGTGTAAAAGGCACAATCATGTAAAATTTCAATTTCTGAAGGGCAGTACTAAAGGCATGCCATCTGTTGACTAGATGCCTGCCTGGATCTAACAGGTAATTATGTGCCAAAGAGGTGGCCATTCACTTGAATAATGTCTTTTCATACATCTCAAAATATGGACTCTGTGAGGACAAAGATAACAGCTTTACTGGTCATAGTCAATGAAAACTTTGTTTGTAACAGGTCACTGAACTGTGATTAATTTTGGTTTGCTTAGATTTCATCTTTATAAAAATTACATTTAAATTCTGCTGTGCAGTCATTTATAAGAATTCAAGAATTGATTAACTCACTGGACAGAAAACACTATGCAAGTAAGGAAGCCCTTTTTTGTTGTTTTATTTTGAGTATGGAGGTTTGGCATGGAGAAATAGTTCCAAGCAGGTTAAGATAAATTTTGATGCTTGGAAACCTTTTCTGTTGAAGCCAGAGGGCAATTTTCCAGCTCTATGATTTATATGAATCACCTTTGGGGAGTGTGGTCAGAACATTAGCGGGTTGGGATTGGTGATATTTTTCTTACCTCTTAACCGACTAAAGGGTTGTGGTAGAGACTAGAAATGTGTTTGCCGACTCGTCTGTATGTTATTTTTACTTCACTTATTATCAAAAAAAGATTTAAAGTCATTGTCCAAAAAAGATGACCAGAGTAGTACATTTTATTCTTTTCAAAGTGATTATCTATCGATTTAGTATAAATGATTATAGATACTTTGACTATTTACTGGCTGTTCAGGTTGAAGTTTGAATCTAATGGTTGGCAGAGAATAAAAAGAGGAACCTGGAAGGTGGGAGAAAGCTTCTCTGGGAAGACCAGTGACACCTCAGCCCTGCATTTGTTCTGTCTGAGCTTCCCTAGGTCTCCCTGAAAAAATGCATGTGCCTTAGTGCGCACACCCACTAATAATGGGAAAGGACTTTTTCCAGACAGCAAGGTTTTTACGATTTATTTCTCTCTCTCTCTCTCTTTTTTTTTTTTTTTGGCTTACAAACCAGTTGTTGCTATTTCTGTCTCATTTACAAATTAGGGGTATTAATTACAGACTACTCCTTGTCATCCGTTGGTCTCACTTTGGTGCCCTGACAGTCCCTATGCTAATGCAGTATAGCACACTAATGGGGCTTTTACACTCTGGGGAAAGGCTCCAAAAAGAAAGATGGTTGTGAACCGCGCCCCACCCTGCCCCATGAAGACTCTTAGTGTTGCATTTATTACTTTATTTGGTACACGTCTTTTGCATACCAAAATGATCTTCTCATTTCGGTTGTCTGAAAAATGTAAACCTTTTCCAGCCCTAATCTACAAAGCCCATTGTTAGCTCTAATTAAGTAGTAAAAATGTGTTTATATGCTTGCGAGTTGCAGCACTGAGCATTTTCTTGGGAATTATAACAGTTGAATGCTATTATGATGAAGCATCTATGATAAAGCATGAAAGTGTCTCTACCATGTGTTGCCACCAGGTCCTGTGGCTTGGATTTAGGTGGCGTTGATGGGAACAGAGACAGAGGTAAAGGAGAAGGATGATAAAATGCATAGCCAGCTCCTTTGACCATACTGTCATTTAAAATAAACAAGGGTTATGACTATTTCTGTTTTAATGCTATTAAAGGGGTTGTGGGTGTTTCAGTTAGAGTATCAAGAGCTGTGAGTGGAGGAGATCGTGTGGGAAACAGACATTCCACGCTAGGATGGAGATGAGAACCCTAGCTGAGTTATTTACTGATGAAATACGGCAAACTGAGCTTTGCCATTTTAATAAGCATCAGTTATTTGCTACAAAGTATAGTCTTATACTGCCTTTGTTAAGTACATTTTCTCTCAAAATAATCAAAAAGGACATGCATTGTGAAAGAATATTCATTAAAGTTTTCTTGCTCTTAAAGGTCCTCTGTTAAAGTGGGGCTTTATGTCTCCAACAACTCAGCACACGCAAAGGCAGAGTCAGAGTAGTGCTGCCCCGGGATTATTTGTTGGGCAGGTGAGGAGGCAGGAGGAGGTGGTGTTGGTGGCTTACACCTCACAGTGTTTTCCTGGTGTCGGGAATCTGAAACTGTGGAACCAGAGCTGTTCGTGAAGTGCCGCAGATCCCAGAATCATTAGCTGGTGTGAAGGTTTTTGTGGTTGTTATTTTTTATAAGCAGTAATTTGTTGCTTATATGTTAACTTGCATGTAATTTTGGTTTTATTGCTATTTGTAATGTGCATTTAGTGGCCTTTTAATTGGCCATAAAACTGAAGCATTAGCCTTATTTAGGATTAAGATTACCTTGGGGGTTTTCTCAGAATGACTCTTAATCATGTAATTGTTTAGTGAATTGGAATATGTTTAACATATTTAGCATCATGGATAACTAGTTATTATAATAACCATTTACCGGTTTTATGGATGAATTAAGATCAGGAACAATAAATAATTTCTGCCAGTATAATTTTTGTTACTGTAAGTAGGTAACTGATCAGTTTTCTCTTTCACTAAAAGATGATAGTGTCAGTATTTTAATGAGATGAATTGGAGTTAAGGTGGTTGGAGGGCCTTGATTTAATAACTGATTTAATAATGGTGTTGCAATGTAGTGGTTTAGTGCAAGAACAAGGCAGACTACTGGGGTTGAGAATAAGCCTCTCTTACTTACTAGCTATATGAACTAGAATGAGTTACTTAATCTTTCACACTTCATGTTTCTCATCTGTAAAATGGGGATAATATAATTGCACACATCCTACAGTTGTTTGGAAGATTAATTAAGTTAATTTATATGAAATTCTTCTATATAACAAAGCCTGATATATAGGAAAATGTTACATAAGCATTTGCTCTCATTATTGAATATTCACAAAACAATGTTTGCATTATACTTGGGAGGCCAGTACTACTCACTTTTTTAGGTGAGGAAACATAGTGAGAGCCATGAACTTGTTAAGTTCCTTTGTCGGTGATGCTGACAAGACACCAAAGGCAGGATTTAAACCCATGTAATTCTGATTCCAGACTTTGCATTCTTTTCATCTTCTT